CCGCAGCCACGCTGCGGGGTCCCGGGCAGTGGGAAGCGAAACCTGGCCGCCCCGCAGAGCTCACGATGGCAGGTTCCTGCTTCTCCCAAAAACCCAGACAGGCTGGTGTCTTCCTCGCTGGCTCAGATGGCTCCCACACACAAAAGCAGCAATTTCTGCCCCTTCACGTGGGACCAAGGGCCTCTCCCATGCTGCCCCTGCCTGCTTAGGGTGGCCCCAGTCTCCTGTACAGCTCGGGTACCAGCCTTGGTTGAGCTGGGTCCCACCAGCATGACTGCATCCCCTGGGGACCATGGGGGCTGCAACTGCTCCCCAGCCTGGGGGGCTCCAGCATTTCCCCTTTGCACCCCAGCAAGGCACCCCATCGCTCCCATCCTCCAGGCAAACCCCGGGCCATCCCGGACAGCTTTTGCACAGCTGCATCACGGGTCTGAAAAAGGACGATGTGTTTTTTCCAGTGACTCATTCTCAGCCTTTCCTTTCCTTTTTTTTTTTTTTTTTTTCTTTTTAAAGGCACAACCCCAGCAGAACCCAAGCGCCTGCTCTTTGCCCCACCCAAGCACAGCACCCCAGAACAACCTCCTCCCTCCTCCCAAAAGCCAACAGCCGAGGGCACGTCACAGACTGAAAAAGGAAGCTGCCAAATTCTTAACGCCGTTTTCATCTGCCTTCAATTCACGCATCAGCCCAACCTCAACTGCATCCCCACTTCTGCACAGACCCGCGTGCCATCGTGAAGTCCCCCACAGCCAGAGCCTGAGCAAAAACGACATGAGGAGCTGAGAATACTCCAGAACTGATTTCAACAGCTTTTGAAGTAAGTGACTGCCTTTTTTCTTGCTTTCATACACGTTCTGGGGAAAGACTTTAACAGAGGCTGCTATATTTGCTGCAAACAACTTTTCCCCTCCCCTCCTACCCACCCTTCTCTCTCCCAGACAGGCACCGTAACCCCCAAGCAGAGGAAGGGTAACCACCCCCCCACACACACACCCAAAAGGCATACTCCCTTTTGCCAGCTCCTCTTATTTTTGCTTTGCCAGTTGCCAGGCACTGTCGGGAAGGTCGCAGGGCTGTTGTTTATCAGGGATATTTGCTGGTAACTCTAATAACAGGGTTTTGAACCCCACGCACTGGAACAAGTTTGCAGGTTTAGCGTCTGGCTGCAAACATGGGGTGCTGCAAAGCGCGGCAGCCAGAGCTGGGGGCCTGGATCCCCGTCACGTGGCTGCAGCTTTTGGCTGGTCTCGCTCCCTTGCTGAGGGAGTTTTGCATATGGAAAACTGGGAAGATACATGAAGACATTAAGGGCTGCTTGTGTTTGAAGTCAGCAATATCACAGCATGACTTTGAATGGATTGCTGTGGGTTAGACACAGCAGGGAACCGAGGCCAAAGTTCTGTCCCCTTTCCCCTCTCCTTCCCCACAGAGGAAGAGTGTAAAACAGGATTTGGTGGGACAGCAGATGAACCGAAGCACAGGAGTGATTTAAAGCACAGTAAATAAGCAAGCCTTGTATAAGAGACCATAGGGGTTAAGATCATAGAATCAGAGAACGGTTTGGGTTGGAAGGGACCTTAAAGATCATCCAGTTCCAACCCCTCTGCCATCAGCAGGGACACCTTCCACTAGACCAGGTTGCTCAAAGCCTCATCCAGCCTGGCCTTAAACACCTCCAGGGAGGGCACATCCACAACTTCCTTGGGCAACCTGTTCCAGTGTCTCACCACCCTCACAGTGAAGAACTTCTTCCTAATATCTAATCTAAACCTACCCTCTTTCAGTTTAAACCCATTTCCCCTTGTTCTGTCATTAACTGCCCCACCTTTGTCTCCTCTGCACGAACATCCCCAGAGCCTTTCCCCTGCAGCTGGGGCTGACCTGGGGAAGCCTTGCTGGGAGATGCCGGTATTAGGGCAGATTTTGGGGCAGCCCTGCTGTGGGTCAGGGCTTCCTAGGAGCCCCGGATGTGCACTGATGCTGCACAACCTGCCAGAGATAGTTGGGCACCCGGGTCCTTCCTGTCTCCAGCAAACCCCAGTGACAGCAGTTCCTCTGAGGCCAGAGGGTTTTGTCACGTGGGTGAGGGCACCCAGAGCTAGTGAGGTGCTTAGGGCTTCCCGAAGTAAGACCCTGTGGGGACGCGGTGTAGATGGAAAGTCAACTAAGAAATTAATTAAATGCAGTTTGCAAGTGAGATGGGGGAATGGGCATCACTGCAGAGGGCATGGATACACTCTGCAATTATTTCCTGGTCCTTCAAAAAAATCAGGACATGTGCTTTTCACCTGCTTGGTCCTGACTGCCTGCAGTCCATGCAGGCCAGGACCAGTCCTGCTGGTGGGGCAGGCATCCCAGTATAACCAGTGCTGTACTGGGAGAAGGGGCTGGAGGAAGCAGCATAGGCAAAGGGCA